TTACATTTTTCAAATATAGAGATCCCATAAGTACTTATGCTGCTCCTCAACTGTAAATAATGTACCTTTAGATATGCTGGAAGTACTTATTAAGCTTTGTTCTAGAAAAGCTTCTGTAAAGATGGTAAATAGCAATATAGACAAAAAGCTTTTGTGAACCCAGGAAGTCAACAAAACCCCTTCTTTAGGGACTCAGAGAAAACAAAAAAAAGAAAGAAAAAACTAAGAAGAAAAAAAACCCCCCAAACTGAAAATGAAACAGATTCAAATGCAATGTAAGAGAAACCATGACAGAGGAATTTCAGTCAATTACCTTCACATTACCTTCTTACCTGAGCTAAATGTGATAATGCTTCAAGGGCAGATAAGACCATGAGAGTATAACAGTAAGCATTTCTCAAATGTTCCCCAGTATAAGAATCTAATATGCTGAAGGTAACTCATTCAAGTTTGGAGAATATAATGATGCTGTCAACTTTGAAAACAAACTCAATAGACAATTCCATTTCTTCCCCACGGACCCTGCATCTTAAGATAGAGAATCTTGCACTTCACCTTTTCAAATATTATGACCATCTCACAGTCACTAACAAAACAGTAATAACAAAAGTGCAAGCTTTTTACACTGCTCTTTCCTCTGTGCTAGCAGTCTTCATATTTTTTCCTATATGTTTTTTTCTGAATTGTTAGCATTTGAGTCACCCTTCCTGGTATGGTCTGAGTTCCAGACTGGGATCAGGCTGCTGTTATATGAGATCTAGATGTCAAAATCTTTAGTGTCAATCAGCACACCCCCTTAAACCATCAAGAAGAGTCCTTAATTCTAACAAGGTGCAGAAACTATCAGAATCCACTGTGACAAGAATACATTGCTGCTAACAAATATGAACAAGGACATGGAGAAGATGTTCCAGGAAAAAACGTTATTTCCCTTTGCCTTACAATAGTTCTTCCAGATTCTTCTGTAGTTTCTGTTTCATTTGATAAATCTGTATGAGGAAAAATGTGTCTAGCATGTATATTTTTCCCACCAAGCACAAAACCATTTTGGAGCCCACCAATCTGCAGCATTACTTTACCACTATATGGCAGTGTGGAAGCAGAAGTGATGCTGGTCACATTAGCCTCAACGGTCAGGTAGGGCCAGTTTTACAATCTGCAAGGTACAAGACCAGTCCACACACCCTGCTGCCTAGAGCTTCTCTCTCTACTTTGATGGGAATATGCTAAAGCTAGCTGCTCTATCCTCTTTCACAAAAGTAATCTTTGAAGGGCAAAACTTGTGGTCACAAATATTTTTTGTTTGCTTTGTATTTTGTGCATCTAGACTTGATAAGGACTTACCTTTACAGTTACCACTGCATTAATCCCAAGGCAGTCATTGCCAGCAGATGGCCTAAGAACTGGTACATCATCTCCTGTTTTAGCACAAACCAAATAATTCCAAATCACCATAAGCCATCATCTTTGTTCAGGCCTACTCTCTGCACATGTTCCAAATGGAATAAATCAAGATAGAATTTAGGACCTATCAGGAGTAGTTCTTTCTGTTTTAATTTTCTAATTGATCAGACAAGACATAAACATAGCATCCAGCTTCAAATGACACATAAGCCTAGGATTCACCCTAGAATATTTTTTCTGGTTGAGCGGCAATGAAAGCAGGCATTTCAGCTGAAATCAACATCAGCTTATCATCTCACAGTCACTGCCTTGGTCAGAGTCCAGTCAGGCAGTTGCCATTACATAGCTCGATGGTCTGGGTACATCTCCCAAACAGAGCAGCTCGCAAGTGCGTATCTACCTCAGTCTGGAGACTACGCAAGCAAGTTTGAAAGTTTGGAATGGGTCATGTGAGCCCATCACAAATAAAGAATTCCAACACATTCCTAATTTATTTCTATTGAAAAATGGACATCTCCAAATTTGCTTTTCTTGGTACTAGTTTAAGTAGCACAACAGCAGCAGCAGAAGACTTTCTCCTGGTCCTCAAAATGCCATTTTTCCTCAGAAAGGTAGAAACTGAATATTTACTGAATTGGAAAATTCATCACAAGGGAGACCTCTCCAGCACAGCTATGCTCAGTTTTTCTTGTCACTAACTCATCCATGGGAAAATGCCCCATATTTTAACTGCAACAAGGGAAAAAATAAGGCCTTTAAAAATTCATTCAACCACACCAATGTTTCATTATACCCTTTGCAGAGCAGATGGCAAGATGATGCTCTACCCCCTGGGCCTGCTTCAGGGAGCTAACACAAATGCTCTTCTTACTACAGATCTCAGATAATGTTGATGTCATAATTTCACTTGGGGATTTGGGTCAAAAGGCTTTACACTCAAATCTGGTTTTTATATAGTACAAGTGCACCCAGACTAGACTCTAACGGATAAGCAGCAGGGAACTAGCACACAGAGCTCTCAGTCACTTCCAGGTCGCTGATTTACACTGGTGCATTTACAGACTGAATCTTTCTAATCCAATTAAAATCTCATCTGAGCTGTCAATACAGATGTAGCCTGTTTTATTTTAGTGTTTCATAGAACAGGCATTAATCCAGGCCTGTGGACAAACCAGCCCTTCTAGGCAAAGTCTGCATTTTGCCAGCCCAGTTTCCAGCCCAGGTTCTCTTGCACATAAAGCCCTTAACTGCTCTCATGTTACTTGTCTAATCAGGAACTCATATAGACATGCACTGCCATCCTATCTGTCTACTTTATAAAATGTGTGATGTACACTATTACCCTTCTGAAAAACAGCACTTCTCTCTCTCAGCTCACTTCTCATGCAATGATGGCTGGGGCGCTATCGCTAAACATAAGAACTGAAAATGATCTGTTTTCATTTCAATGGCTTCATTTGTTTGAAATGCATATGCCAGATACAAGCTGTCAGCACATTTAATAAGTTATAACATAAACCAACAACTCTCAGACTACTGGGGCCAAAAATTTTTACAGACCATCACATATATTTGTCATTAAATTTTGCACCAGAAACATTAAAAATTATCATTTTTAATAGACTTCCATAAGGCAGCTGTGAGCTGTTTTGCCACAAGCAAGCACACGGAACACCAGTATTTGCCAGACATAAAGCTAGAAGTTAAAAGTATCATTAATACCACCAAAAAACTCTCAAACTCCTCATAAAACTGATAACCTCAGTACGCAAAAGCCCAGCAGCAACTCAAGCAGGTCTTTCACTATGATCCAAAGGTAAACAAGTTCAAGGTTTAGCAAGACAAGTTCAGGAGCAAAGCACATCTGTTGGTGATGTCTTCAGAAAGACTAGATTGAATGCTTCAGTGGATCTTGGTATTGGAAAGATATGAACTTTGATACAGCAGTTTGAGCTTTGCATGTGAAAACCAACAGTTAAGCAGCATCCAGAAATAAACTGTCAGCAGAGCAGACTGCAGGTTACACTCTTACTCTTGAGCAATACCTATCACCATGCAGAATTCTCCACAGGCAGCTGCATTTTCTAAGACGGATTCAAGTAGTCTCACATAAAAAGAAAATTAACCTAAATATAGACCAGAATTTTGTGAAGTATCTCCATAAGAGAAAATTCTCCATTTGAAAATTAGATCAAAGCAAGTAGACTCTTCTGCTGCATACATTATTCTTCCTGAAACAGCTGCAAATCCTACTGACTCTTTTCTATGCCCCTGCCACAGAATACTGAAAATGCTAATGGGAGCTGGGGAAGTGTAAAGTTAATGGAAAAGAAATCCATACCAATTTACTATGTATACAGAATGCAACTTTTGACTGAGGAAGTCCTTGAGCTGAAAACTGTAAGAAGATTGGAAAAGACCACCCTATAGCCATAACTTATAATCTCCAACACCTTATGTTTTTCCCTACCCATCCGCTTTAGACCCATCTTGAACCTCAAGTTTGGGCTAGGTTGTCAGACCACTGATCTGACAAACTTCTGTTTGTCAAATACAGCTGTCCCTGTATTTAATGAGATACTATAGTTGCCTATATACTAACCTCCAACTGCATATGCAAATTACATGGTTCTTTTCATTGCTATAGCAATTTAAAGCTATGGTCATGGACAATAACTTATTGGGCTAATGTTACAAGTGTAACATAGAAAGACTACTGGCAAATTCCTCTAATGCTGAGATCCAGTATTTTTTGTTCTATTCCTCACCTCAGTTGCATTCCTCAGGCATATACACACTTACAGATAACACACTTTACTTAAGTTCCAGTCTGAGAATGGTAATGAGAAACCCAATCAGCTGCATCAAATCAGCATCACCTTTATGACACGGTTTGCAAAACAACCCAGCCCTATGACCTCTGCCTATGTTTTGCATTCAGGCTGAACAAGAAGATAAAGACCGTGAAGTCATTATGATGCCAGACATGAAAAGCAACTGTCTGTTTTCCTGCAACATTTACTACAAAAGCAAACAACAAAATTCATCTGAAATATTTCCTTCTCTTCTTGTTATAGCTGTTGCTGCAACAGTACCATTTCATGATTCAAAGGCAGCTGTGTGATGAAACATAATTAGCATGGTCACCTGGTCCTTATACCTCATCATCAGCAGAATGCTACTCATCAACAAAACCAAATAGTCCTCATTTTATAGATCTGCAAACCCTAAGATTTTCCACTGAATTACATTATACAGCAGATTTTATCCCAAAATTGTAAACAAGAAATCGACTGTCAGCTCTCTCTAGAGAACTTGAGAGGTTCCTTCTAATATGCCCAGTCCTACATAGTGCAATGAGAATAAATAAGCACATTTAATCATTTTGTTGTATTTATACTCAGTGCCACTATCATCCATCCTGTTGCTTACCACCTTTCTCCTACCAAGTAACTAGTCATGAAAGAATGAAAGGGCTTTTTAAAAGCTTCAGTAGAAGCTTTTCTCTAATACATCCCTTAAGTCCTCTTAGTCCTCCTTTAAAGGGAAGAGTTCATCCACCTCATAAATATATCAATCTGTCACTAGAAACTTACCACAAGTTCAGTGAATCTGGCATTGAGCTCTTCTGCTGATGGGATTGGGACAGAAAACTCAAGGAACTGGAGAGGATTATTGTCCTTGAGATTGATTTCAGGGAGGTCGCTACCTCCAAAACAACAAAGAAACCCCAGTGCATGACGATTCCTCTTCCGCGGGGCCATGATCATGGTGTATGGTGCTATCTTCTGATCATGTTCTGTAGGAAAAAAAAACCAAAACAAAATCAAAAGACATTAGATGACAAAAAAGACTGCTGAATCTGTGCAGCTCTGTGCAGTTACAATGACTGTCACTGGAGTAACAAATGGAAGAGGACAGAAGGATCTGATACCCAAAAGAGCAAAATAAACACTCAAGCTAGATAAGGCAGCTAGGCCTTTGTATGGTATTAACATGTTCTTCCACAGCAGGGTAGAATCACTTGTCCCAGTTTTTCTGAAAAGGTTTTACAAACTCAGTGTGGACTTTCCCAACAGGTAGATTTATCAGCAATGCTCAGTAGCCAAGGCTGAATGCTTACACAATACCACAGAATGGTGGTATTGGCCTTTGTGTCACTACTACGATAAAGGAAATAAACTATCAGAAGGAAAAAGGCATATATGGGAGGATTTACCCAGAACACATGGAAGAATCTTCCAAAGGCATCCCATATTAAAATTAAATGAACAATGAAACAATGAAGCAGACATCAATCTTCCACCACTGCAGAGCCAGACCACCACACATTCATTTTCATGGCCAGGACTATCACTGTAGGACCATTTTGCTCATCCCATTTTCACACACATGTAAGTAGTTTGGGCTGCTTTGTGTATTCATGGAAGAAATAGCACAGTGCTAATGGATGCCTTCAGATTTACATTTGAGCTGCCAGATCCCATTTGATAGGGTCTTGATCCCTGGCTTGAAGGGCTTTGGTAGCAGGAGTATAAAGGCAGGCAGAAGGAGGCCTGAAGGAGAAGCTGGGAAGTGACTGATTTCACTACCACACAACACTGATTGTGAGCAGCCCATCCAAACAGGAATTCTCCTGCCAGCAGTTTGAAAGGAGGGATATGTACAATGCACAGAGAGACACATATTTTGGCCTTTTAAGGGACTTGTTGTTTGACAGCTCATGGGCTTATTTGTGTTATATTTTTAAGGACTTCAGTTTTTCACTTAATCTGCAGAATAAGCCATATCCGGAGAGAGTAAATAATTAAAGCTTGTTGTGAAATTGCTCTTCTTGGGCACAGGGCAGGAGAGCAGGAGAGAGGCAGCAGGTGAACTGAACCACAGGATGCTGGATGCTATATCAGCAACAACACAGCTGCGCTTTGTCATCAGAGCAGCTGCTGCCCTAACCTGCCCTACAATGCTTTAGTCTGTTTGCTTGCCAGAACTTTCACAGAGACTGAGTAGCTGTGCAAGGAAAAGCACCTTCTGGACAGCAGTTGCATAGTGGGATTTAACATACAGAGCTCTCCAGGGATATTTGGTGCAGAAATTGGCATGCTTGCTTTAGAAATACCTAAGCAACAAACAACCACCAAAAAAATGCCCAAACCACCCAAACCTCTATCCTTATTGGCACAATGTGCTTGGCAGGAGTCATCTGCCTTACTATGTGCTGTGATTAATTTATCTAGCACATTCTCTTACGCATTGGAGGGGCATCAGCTGCAACTCTCATGTAGCTGAAAGGAAAACAAACTGGTAAAAACGTACTGTCTTATGTCATGTCATGTCATGTCACATCACCTCACCTCATCTCATTTCATCTCATCTCATCTCTGCAAAGGGTGGTATGTCCCAGCAGGATTCACTAGGGCAGGATGTTGCTGGCTTCAAAAGCCCATTCATAAAAACATTGGGTTTCACTAGGAGATGATGAAGGTCAGCTTAAAACTGAAGTGGTCTTTGACACAGCTTCAGTCAGCAAAACCAAAATGCTCCCAAGTCTATCACAATGATGTGCATAGCAATTTCACTTTCCTCTGAATAGTGGACACTTAAGGGATTCAGTTGCTAAAACATTTCACAATAGAGCCTTGGAAATTAAACTTGTACACTACAGACCATCTTCTCAAGTATTATTATTCCAAGTGCAATGCCCTTTATGGCTGTCTGGTCATGACTGAGATTAAAACCAATTAGTTTGACAAAACTCTTTATTGGAAGGAACTAAATTCAATGAGACAAACCTGATTTACATGCAATACAACTACATTTGCATCAATTTAGCTGTAACTAAGTTCTGTCCCACTGTCTAAAGGCTTCCTTACCAACCATCAAAGGACCAGCATTCTCTGGGGCATAGAAAATGAATCCTCCTTGGAAAAACTGGCTGAGCCTTTGGAGTGATAGGACCATAACATCCTCCTTCATGAGCTCAGGTCAAGACTCTGGTATAAACTTTGCCAAGAGGTACCTTACCAGGAAATGAGTACTAGGCGAATGGATGTGAAGCTCAGCATTTTCTACAGGGTAAGTACAGGCCTGATCTGGATACCACATGTTGCTCTGCACTGGAATTCCATAACTCGGCCTTCATCTTAAGCAAGTTCATCTAAGAGGCTGTCAGTCTCCAGGCTTTCTTCATCCATAATGCTGAGAAATACACAAGCTAATGTTAGTGTGTTTTTTTTACAGAATCTGCGGTTCCTGGGGATCCACACTTGTGAAACTCAAGGCTATTTCAATTTTACTACTCTGCAAAAGGGTGCAGAGCTCATATGAACAGTAAGCTTGCTTTCACAAATCATCATTCCATTGCACAACTCATAACACTGGCATTTTCCAGGTCCATCTATAGGCAGCAGGCATGAAGTTCATACTAACATAAAGGGGTAAAATAAAATAACACTTCTTGTAGCTGGTTCAGTGCTGGCTAAAATTGACAGTGCACCTACTAGAAGTATGTACTCATTTCCTGCTGTGAGATATGAATTAGGAGGAGTGTAAAGCAGGCTCAAAACTTCAAAGGTACAAAGAAAAACCTTATTGCAGAACTAAAAAAAAAGAAAAAAAAAAAAAAAGGGAAGAATGAGAAATAAAACCTTTCGAACACTTCTCCCCTGTCCACAACCTTGTTTCTTTCCCATGGACAACACAGAGACAAAACTTGGAATTTTCAATCAGTTACCACCTCTACAATAGTCTTTCATCAGTTCTTGTAGGAAGAGGAGTTTCTCTCACTATGCCATGGAGACTTCTCCACAAGAAATAGTTCTCTTGTGGTTTCAATGTCACAGCAAATCAGCTGCCTGGGAAAGGAAAATCTGCTCACACTGTGAAAGTCCCTCCCATGCCTTGCAGCTTTCCCAAAGCTGTTTTCAATGAATGGCCCATGTCAACTTATGGGTTATTTTAGGGATGAGCTGTTCTAGCATAAAAATAAAACCCAAAGTTCTCTTCTATTATCTCTGGGAACAGAGATAAAAGAAAGAGATAAATTTCTTCTATCTTTGGGGCAAGTTTCTCATCCCTCTCTGTTCAAGCTTCTCATTGGATTACAGCTTTTCAGCATCCACATGCTCCAGCATGAGTGCCCTTTTCTCATGGGCTATGGGTGAATGCTGCATCCCTCCATGTGCTTCACGAATTACAGAGAATAAACAAAGTCTGATATATCAAAAGTATCTCTTCACTATAGACTTACAAAGAGAATTTCAGCCCAAGACAAAGGCATCTCCTCAATCCCCTCCTAACTAGAATTTGACTCCTCCTTTACTGACCTCAGTGTCCCATGTCTTTTTCCTTATGTGTCTTCACCCCTTCCTTTTCCTGAGAATTTTCTGCAGAGAATTGGTGTTTGTAGGTTCATTTGTTCTCAAGCTTTATCAACTGAAACAGTTTATTTTATTGAGTTCTGCAGTGCTGAAAGGTTGATCTCATCCAGTCTGTGCATCAGGGAGATCACTCGCTGTGCTTCTTGGTGCTGCTCACGTGGTCTCTGCCGACACCATGTGAGCCATGCTGGCTGCCAGCTCCACTCAGCATTTTTCTTCATGTGGAACACCGAAAACAAGAAAAACCAGTGCTGCTGCCATTTTTGTCCTTCTCTCCATAGCTTGGCTGGCAAAAAGTGGCTAAACAAAGTTCATTGCAAGACATGTTGAGGCGGCAACGGCCAGATACCGTTGTCCCAGTGGCGCAAATTTTTTGGCCCCACAGTCCCGGCCACGTGGCCTCTCCTAGACCAGGCTGGCAGTGGCCACTCCTGGGCCCCAGCCGCTTCTGGCCTCGGGGCCAGTCCCAATGCTGATAGAATCTCTGGCTGGCCTGACCCAGTGATACCGCTGGAAAAAGTACTGGTGGGTTCTGCTGGGAAGGGGCCTGGCCCCGCTGGGAAGGGGCCCCAGCCACCCACCAGGATGGGCCCCAGTGGACTCCCCAGTGAGGGGCTCTGCAGCCTGCTCACCTCCCCTCGGGGGCAGAAAAGCCCCGCATGGGGCTGGCCTGGTCCAGCCTGGCTGCACAGGCCATGCTGGGTCAGCCAGTTACCTCTTCAAGAGCCAGAAGCCAAGAGAGAGATTTCCCAGGCTTGCCTGTATTTAAAATGTGAATCTCACAGAGGTGGACCCAGCTTCTAAATTGTTCAATAGGTTGTCAATTCTCAGAGCTAGCCAGCTATTGTTTTTTGCTAGGCACAGAGGAAGCTCTTAGTAGCACCTCCCAGAAAAATCGTATCCATGGGTGGCTTCTTCCCTCCTCACCAAATGTCAATTAATGCAAAACCAGCACACTTCTGTATTGCTTCCACACTGTAATTGTGTGGATAGGTGAGGTGTCTAGATGCTTTCAAAATAAGAACAGTTGAGGACTCCTACAGAAGTATCCAGCACAGCTATTTTAGAAATGAACCACTGAATGAATGAATGAATGAATGAATGAAATTTCTAAGTTGGAGCACTGTCACTCTAAAGATTAAGCCTTCCAGTTAAGAAGATGTCCTTTAGAATCCCGTAAGTTGCAGTGTTTATGCTATTTAATAAGTAATTGAAACTTCTTGATTTTTGTTGGTGTTTAAAAAAATAAACATCTTCTAATTACCTCCAAGTTAATAAACTTTTCCTTTTCTTTCTCTCTCTTTTGCCTTTTCTTTGTCAAGAATCAAATCTGGGAAATACGTGCTTCCAAATAATGAGGAGGGTGGGAGACAACAAAGAAAATGAAGAAATGAGCAACTTTCATTTCTCTGAAATGAAA